TTATGGTTCCTGTCCTTTGGTTCTTTCCTAGCCAAATTGCTTACGTCATCCACAAATAATAACTACTTCTTCAATCACAAGTAGGTTGTGTTCTCATCTGAGAAATTGGTAATTGTCAGCTACTGATAGTAGAGATCTGCTTTTGTTTTTATTTCCTTAGCATCAATTTTTCATTCTTTTCAATAGGAACATTTTCCATAAAGTATTAATAATGTCAGCTGAATATCATATAAACCATTATATATGAAAGATTTTGTGTTTGTCTGCCTTTGCCTTATAGCCATTGCCAAGTCTTTTTTTTTTAAGCTTCTAAGGCTAGAAAACAATATTTACCCATTAATAATTATTATCAGTAACTTGGTTATTAGTATCAGTTAACTTCGTTATCAGTAAAGAAGAGGTCCGTAAGAGAAAATATTTAGAGTCTCATGCCAAAGAGGAATATGAACATACCTTTTTTTTTTAATGGATTTGCCTTGAAACTTAGCAAGGCACAGGCAAAATTAAATGAACAGTGGTAGTCACTAGCTTTTTATTAAGTGTTCAGTGGTTAACATTTTATGACATTTTAAGTCTTTCAATGGGATTACCATTATATATGAATAATTTTCAATATCGGGTGCAAAAGTGAGGTTACCAAGGGTCACTGTGGCTATTTTTAAAAATTTTTTATTTAAATTCAAGTTAGTTAACATATAGTGTAGTACTGGTTTCAGGAGTAGAATTTAGTGATAACAACACTCAGTGCTCATCCCATTTTTAAGGGCTTGAACTCAAAACCCTGAGATCAAGACCTGAGTGAGATCAAGAGTCAGATGCTTAACTGAGCCACCCAGAAGCCCTTGTAGCTATTTAAATTTAAGTTAATTAAGATTAAATAGAAGTTAAAATTTATTTCCTCTGTCACACTAGGCACATTGTGCTTAGTAACCACATGTAACTAGTGGCTACAATATTGGACAGTGCGGATATAGAATATTTCCATCATTGCAGAAAGTTCTGTTGAACAGTTGGTCCAGAATATTGAACTATTAATGTTGAAACTATGTCAAAAGTTATATTCCCTTAAAGATGAACCCATGTTAATAATAGATGATAGAGCCAGGGGTGCCAATGGTAGATTAGATCAAATACTTGAAATGATAATGTTGATTCATAATTTAAAGCAATATGGACCTAAAAAACAAACAAAAACTCTCCTCAGCCAGAGAGTTTGACATTTTTCCCAGGGTTCAGGTGCAGGGGTATAAAAAAAAGCCTCAAACATCATCAATCACTGTTAACTAGAGGTCAGACTGCATCTAACTTGGGGCGGGGGGAGATTACTGACTCAACAGCATGCACCCACATGTAATGATAAAGTAGGATACTTTTGTAAAAGCTGGTGATTTTTTAAGAATAGGACTAGCAAAGTAAAACAAAATTCAACCAAGGCTAGAGATTAGTACATTTGCGGACAATTACAGATTGCTAAATGTTGGTTCTTATGTAAGGTATATACATACTTTAAATACAGTTTGCCTTTATTGAAAAAGTATTGTTTGGTTGGGGAGGGAACTTAAAAGCAAGTGTGTCAACAAGTGTTGACCCTACCCCACTTGAATTCCATTAAAATGGAATGAGGGTACCTCAAACTATTTATCAGAAATATAAAGGATTTTCTTCCAGATACAATGCTGAAAGGTATTCAGTGCTGGATAACCTACATCCTGAGAGAAGGCAATTTGATCAGTAAGTAAGGAAGCCCTAGCGGAACCCAATTTCTGTCCCACATTTTAAAGGGGAAAGAGACTTTTGGAGACACACCATTTCTTTCCCCAGATAAGGTTTAATCTCCATTAGGGAACTTATTCCTTTGGTTTTTCCCTTTCTCTTCTCTATCTTTACTTTTTTTTTCTCTCTATACTGGCTCATTCACACCAATATTTAAATGTGCTTAAGTTTCTCATATCTTTGAAAAACCAAACATACACCTTCACCCACTGCCGTATTTTGCCCTGCACCAGTTAAACTTCTCATAAAGGTTCTCCAAATTCTGTCTCCACTTCAAAACCCATGCACAACTCAACTCCACTAAAACTTCTGAGTCAACAGAGACTTTGTTGCTAAATTCTATAGGTTAGATGTATTTTTTTCATTCTTTTTCAGTAACACTTAAAACTTACCACTTTGTCCCCCTTAAAAAGCAGCCTTCTCTTAAACTTCTCTGACATCACACTCACCCGGTTCATTCTGTTTCTCTGCCCACTTCTTTAGTCTCCTTTCAGTGACTCATCTTAGTCTACTCTGGCTGTCTCCAGGCCCTTTTCTGTCCTGAGGCTGCACCAAGTGATTTCATGCACTCACGGCTTCAGATGAACATCTATATTCTGATGATTTTCTTTTTTTTTAAGATTTTATTTATTTGAGAGAGAGTGAGCACAAGCATGGGGGAGGGACAGAGGGAGAAGCAGACTGCCCGCTGAGCAGGGAGCGCAACATAAGGCTGGATTCCAGGACCCTGGGATCATGGCTTGACTTGAAGGCAGATGCTTAACCAACTGAGCCACCCAGGCACCCCTCTGATGATTTATTTTTCTGTAGTTCTAGCCTGGATCTCTAATGAGCTTCAGATACACATCTAGAGGACTAGAACACTAATCCTCCTGAGTGTTCAAAGTGGCACCTCAAATGAGCATGTCCAGATCTGAACATTATCTTTCTCCTGAATTTATCATATATGCCTTATCTTATTAGCAAGTGATGCTACCATCTAATAATCCAGTTTAACAAGCCAGAATCCTGGATGTCATTCTTGAATCTTCTAATTCCCTCATTATCTTTATCCAAAATCACGTTTTTCCTGTTTTAGCAACTATTTCTCAAATTCAGCCACTTTCCACTTTACCTACTGATACCATTCTAATACATGCCACTGTAATTTCCGATCTAGATTATTTTACCAGCCTCCTATTGTATTCCCCCTCTAGTCAAGTATCCACATTAAGTGTTCTCTGAATAAACTCAAATCTGATTCCCTCCCATCTTTAAAAGCCCTCAAAGACTCCCTATTGCCTCTGCCTTAGAATAACTCTTTACCATAGTTTACAAGCCTATTTCATCCTTTGTATTTCCTCTCCCTTGCCTCTTGCCCTCACACATTCAGACTCCTCTACTGCTGGAAAATCTCTTCCATATCTCCCCACAAATGTCACCCCATTTCTCCTGGCTAATTTCTAACTCCTTCTTAAGGTCTTGTTTGGACATTATTTCCTCTTGGAAACTTCTTGACAACTCTCCCCCTCAAAACCAGTTAGGGACCTGTCCTGTGCCCTCACAATATCTAATTCTTCCCCTATCAATGCACTCGCACGCTATTTACGTGTGTGTATCCCTCACTGGACTGCAAGCTACTCAAGAGCAGATTTGTGTTTTTTTCACTGATTAATCCTCTGTATATAGGTGTGCAATAAATGTTTGTGTGAAAACTGTATTAATCATGTTTTTTTATTTATTTTTTTATTTTTTGTCATCTGGGGCCTTGCTGAGACTGCCCTTCCTGGGGCTATCTGTTCCTAGAGATGGCAAATGTCTCTCCTTCTAGCCAATAAAAGCCCAAACCCTCCAATCACCTTCTTTATCAAACTTTCACAAGCCAAGGCAATATTGCTCTGCCCTAATGACCCCAGGGCCAGGTACCAAACAACTCAGGATAGCCGCTACATCCCAAAGCCCACTGAAACTTTTCTATCCAATCTTAAATCTCTTAGCTTGGGGAGCCTCGGTGGCTCAGTCAGTTAAGCATCCAACTCAATTTTGGCTCAGGTCATGATCTCAGAGTCATGAGATGCAGCCCTGCATCAGGCTTGGCGGGGTATTGGGCACGGAGCCTGCTTGAGATTCTCTCTCTCGCTCTTCCTCTGTCCCTCCCCACCCTCCCCTTCTCTAAAAAACAAAACCTCTTATGTGTACCCTGCCTCTGCTGTTCCTGCAAAAACCACAATAAAAGCTCTCATCCATGTTTCCCCTTGCTCCTGGCTCCTGACCCACCATAGTGCTTCCCTGTGTGGACATAAACTTTGTGTATTCTATGTCTAGAATTGGTTTGGTATAAATACTCTATGCCTGTGGGCAAGAACTGGAAAGAAAAATGGGAAAATGAGAACTGAATTGGGGTGGAGGGTATACAGCTTTTATCATACCTTTAGAGAATATCAGGTAGCACATTTTAAAGCCCATTGTGGACACAGAAGATGAAGAAGCCACCAGGAAAGTGGGGCTAGATGAGCAGAGATGAAAAGTCTGTTCTCACCTGAATCTTGTTACCAGAGCGGCAGGGTTTTTTGTTTTGTTTTGTTTTTTTCTACTCAATACCATTTGCCAAATAACGAAACAGTATTTGAGGGCAACCTGGTAATTTATTCAGTAGCTTGAGAATAGAGAAGGGGAGCTTATGCCTTAAAGGTACCTTTTTTCTATTAGGTCTCCTGTCAGGGTTTTATGGGGTTAAGGTAATTAAAGGGGATGGTAAGGAACCGGACCTCAGAGCTTTTGAGGAGAGAGGAGACTTCTCAGAATGAGAGTGCCAATTCTTTTCTTCCCTTAAATGAGTGCAGTCAGATCTATCATGGCACTGGTAGCTGTGTTTTTTGTTACTCCTATTAGATGTCAATGATCCGGAGGCCACGTGGAGGGTTAGCACGGCCGCTAAGCCGGACCAAAGCGGTGGAAAACTGGGTCATGGGGGGCTTGTTTGGAGTCTATGGCTTCTGGTATCTGGCCTTAATTTCTGGTGGCAAGCAGCATCTGCAAGCAGGACTCGAAAATTGGGCTATGTGGCTTGTATGAAGCTTTTTAGAGACTCCCTGGTGACAACGTCTGGGCTCAGAAGTTGTGGCACCTGGGCAGGCTGCACGATTCTAGGCAGGCTCAGCTCAGCCTCGCTTCTTTAGAAGCCGGAACCCTCCAGAATCGTTTCTACGTTTTCCAGTCGGCGGTGAAAGCTCAGTACCCGGCCTTCCCGGAAGTTGTTGCGCAGTCGTTTCCGGGGCAGAGTGAGGTGGAGGAAGATTCCGGATGGGTCGCAGCCGCAGCCGCTCCCCACGGAGGGGTGAGTCCAGAGGGAATTTGGTCTGGGGCTTGGTCGGAGGCGAGTCCCCCGTCCTTCTTCTCACCCCAAGTACGAACGCAGCGGAGAGAAAGGCCCTTTTCTCCTGAGGAGGAGAAGAGTGGGGTTGGATGGGGGCGGGGGGAACAAAGACCCGAGCCCTTTACTCTTCAGCCCCCCGGTTTGAAGGCAGTTTTCCTTCCTCTAAGTTAGAGTTTCGCCGACTCGTTGTCAGCCTCATACAATAACTTGTTATACTTGTGACTGAGGGATTTAGAATCAGACCACGGTTCCCTCACTTAATTTCTGGGTGGCCTTGTGCAAGTCATCCAGCCCTTCTGAGACCGAATTCCCATAATTAGACATTGGGGGTAGTACTACCTATCTTTAAAAAACTGATGTGAGAATTAATGTCACATTCCATAACACTCAGCATGTGGTAATGCCTAGTTCTTGAATGCTCGATGTTAGCTTCCTTCCCAGTTTTTATAATAGGAAAATCGATATTTAGAATTTTGCGTCCAGGGAGCTCACCTCGTAATATCTTCTGGCACCCACCCCCATAAATGAGGCAGTGGGATGTAAAGAACCCAGGACTTCGATCAGGAGATCTAACTTAGACCCTCGGTTCTTCCTCCTCTGGTTAGTCTTTATCACCTTCAACTTGATTTTGTGAAAAGTTGAACGAGGCCGCGATTCGCATATGGCTCTTGAGCACTTAAAATGTGCTCAGTCCGAATTAGGAAGTGCTGGTTAAGTGTAGAATACACTCCAGATTTCCTATTAAATACCAAAAAAAAAAGTAATATCTCAATTTTCATATCGAGTACATGGTGAAATGATAATGATTGGGGTATATTGGGGCAAATAACAATGTTAAAATTAATTCTACTTGTGTCTTTTTACTTTTTTAATGTGACTACCAGAAATGGCTGGCATTATATTTCCATGGGACGGCGCAGCTCTAGATATTTGAGGTAATATTTTGCCTCTGCAAAAAGATTTTGTGTGTTTGTATTAGAGCGCAGGCGATCCCGGTCCACATCCCGTGAGCGAGAACGCAGGCGCCGAGAAAGGTCCCGGTCCCGGGAGAGAGATCGGCGAAGGAGCCGCTCTCGATCCCCGCACAGAAGACGCTCCAGGTGAGTGCAGGGAAAAAAACCTGAAGTTTTACCACAAGGCCCAAAGAAACTAGTCGCTGCCCTTAATTTTGTTTTTATCACTTATAAGAGATTTACAGTTTCATGAAATGAGGGGAACTTAAGCCCACCTTATTTTAAACCCAACATTTCCATTGGTAAATGGGGTTCATCACACTGTTTACCGTAGAGTTGCCTTGAGGAAGAAATGAGAAATAATACATGAAAAACACTAGCGTGGTGCTTGGCAGGAGTAGGAAATAAGGGTTTTGTATTTGGGGGGTTTTTTGGTTTTGGTTTTCTTTCTTTTTTTTTTTTTTAAGATTTCATTTTTGTAAGTAATTTCTGTACCCAACTTGGGGTTCCAGCTCACAGTCCTGAGATCAAGAGTCACATGCTCCAGGGACTGAGCCAGCCAGGTGCCCCTGTTTTGTTTTTACTAACTTTTTGGTGATGAAGGTTTACTCAAATATGTAAACAAGGTTGTGAGATCTTGAAAGAACCTTAGAAATTGACTCTTGATTCTTAATAAGTATCAATTGCTGTTTAAGTCAACTTTTTGTGTATTTGTAATTGTTAGAAACTTTTCTTTTTCTGCCTTACAAAAAAATTTTTTAGCCCTAGCTATACTAAGACTGATGATTACAGCAATAAATTATATTTCTGGTTTTTTGTTAACAGTCAGGGCCTAGGCGGAACCTTCTTCCTTGTTCTGCTATGTGGAATGGACTCCTGGTTCTTTGGAGCCTGGCTTTTGTTCAGCCTTTACCTTTTAGGAGCTCATGTATATATTTGTCAATCACCACGTCACCAGTTATGTCTCTGCTTCTGATATCTTTACTTATTAAATATTAGATCCCCAAGACGACATAGATCCACATCTCCTTCCCCTTCTCGACTGAAAGAAAGAAGAGATGAGGAAAAGAAAGAAACAAAAGAAACAAAGAGCAAAGAACGCCAGATTACTGGTAATGAAATAACTAGGAAAAAATACAGCTTTGTTCATATAACTTTAGTCATGATAAAATTATAAAAGTATAATTTGGGAACATTTAAATATTAGATTTTTTATAGTGTTCATATGGTTTTGAGATTTTGTTATCATTGTACCTTAGTTGCTCGTTATCTGTGGTGCTCCTGATATAAAAAGGCCAGTTAAAAACGTGAGAATATTCTATTTTGGAAGTACCTTCAAAACTAGTGTTGTATCTGATATTAAAAGTGGTCCTGCCCAAAGGCTCCAAGCATGTCGTTTTAAGCAGTCTCTTCTGATGGAGGATGGAGAGCATATTCCCTCAGTGCATCTTAAGTTACGTTGTGTCCAAACTGAAGAGGAATTTTTTCCAATTTCCTAGTCCTTTAGCTAATTGTTTTGTGTGTTCTCTGCTGCTGAGGTGGAGTAACTATTTTTTTTTTTTAAGATTTTATGTATTTTTTTTTTGAGAGAGAGATTCTCGCAAGCGAGAACATGAACAGAGAGGAGAGATGGGAGAGGCAGAAGCAGACTCCCCACTGAGCAGGGAGCCCGATGTGGGGCTCAATCCCAGGACCTGGGACCATGACCTCAGCCGAAGGCAGACGCTTAACTGACTGAGCCACCCAGGCACCCTGGAGTAACTATTAATCTATTGCCAGCTCTCTTTTTATATAGACATGTCGTTGTCCCCTGCCCCTGGGTACAAAAGTAGAGCCTTCCTATGAAACCTTTCCTAAGCTGAAATGGCATAAGGCAAAGAGTATCCCATGCTTTCTGAAAGTTTGTGGTACACCACGTTGCTTTTACAAAAGACCTACATTAGTACAGTAATTGCTTTTTCCTTAAAAGGAAATATCCTCTTCACATTTCTTTTGGTTAGCAAAAAAAATACTAATGTAGGTCTTTTTATTTATTTTAGAGAGAGAGAGAGAGTATGTGCATGAGCGAGCACAAGTGGGAAGGGGGAGAGGGAGAAAGAATCTGAAGCAGACTCCTCACTGAACACGGAGCCAGACATGGGGCTGGATCCCACAACTACGAGATCATGACCTGAGCCAAAGCCAAGAATTGGACGCCTAACCAACTAGGCCATCCAGGTGCCCCAATGTAGGTCTTCTCTAAAAGCAAAGTGGTGTACCACAAACTTTGGGAAGGTGGGATGCCTATATATAACATGATAGAGTTTTAAAAAAATTTGTATTTTTGTGTTATTTTTTGCAGAGGAGGACTTAGAGGGCAAAACAGAGGAAGAAATAGAAATGATGAAATTAATGGGATTTGCCTCTTTTGACTCCACCAAAGTAAGTAAAACACATAGCCAGTTAAACATTCTGATTTGAATTAATCCATTATTACTGTCACATTTTTCCATATTCTTTTACAGTTGCTTATAATTTCTTCCATTCATACGAGTTTTTTTCCTTTAGAAGACATGAAGTATCTGTGTGAAGGGCATTGAGAGCACAGAGAAGGAAGCACTGAGCTGCCATTAGAATTCAGGGAGTGTTTGCCTGATGTTTAAATTTGATCTTCAAGGTGATCAGATGAATAGGAAGAAGATCATTTGAAGTAGAGGGAAGAACTCATGAAAATGCTATGTAGGCATGAAGGAGCATAGTGTATTGTGAGAATTTCAAATTCAGTGACTGGTAAAAGGGTGCTGATAGGCTGGTGGCTATGAATGAGGCTAGAAAGCGGGATAGGAAGCAAATTGTGGAAGCTTTTGATACTCTTAGACATACCAAGGAATTTAGAGTTAATTCTTTAGGTGTTGAGGAGAGGAAGCAATGATATGTGCATTTAGAAAGATGAGCCAGGACAACATGTAGGACAGATGGGAGACGGGTTAGATCGGAGGCAGGGAGAAGTGCTGGGTCATGCAAGTGAAAGATGATGAAGGCCTGAACTGAGGCCAGAATATTAAGTCTACTCAGGAGCCAGAGTTGGTGGTGGTGGTTGTGGTAGTGGGAGTGAGAAGTCAGTAATGACTCCAAAGTGACAGGCTGAAAGACTGGGGGATAGGGTTAACCAAGAAAGGGTTCTGGGAAGGGAAAGTGCTATTAAACAAGAATGAAGTTCAGCTGCAGAGAACGATGACATTGGGTATCTGTATATACCTCATAGCTCAGAACGGGGAAGGATTGGAAAGTGAATGCTGTCTAGCCTTGATCATAATACTGAAGAGAATAAGGAAGTGGGGGAGGAAAAAGAGGGAGGGTTTGTGGAGAGGAAGATGAAGAGAAGGGATTGTAGGGAAGGAGGGGGGGAAGAGTAGAAAGACATAGGGAAATGTGATGGAAAGAGAAATGGGGGAGGGGAGATGGAGAGAGGATGTGGAAAGAGGAGAGAAGGGATAGAGCGAGCTAGTAAGAATAGAAGGAGAGTATGTGTGGAAGGAATATATATATTTTCTTTGAGAATATGGTTTAAAAACATTCTCTAGAATCTTAAGTCCGTGTAGTTTTGTAAATGGAAATTGAGATTTTTAAGAAAAATTGTCAAAAATAATCCACTTCCCCTAATCTTTGAATGGAATGGGCTAATCGTAGATGCTGTAAAAGTTTCTTACTAATGGTTGTGATTATGTAGGGCTCACATGTTTATAAAATGACAGTGTATAACTCAAGAGGAATACTGGGAGGCATGACTGTTCTGAGGTAAGAAAATTATGAATTCTGGGGCACCTGGGTGGCTCAGTCGGTTAAGCATCTGCCTTCAGCCCAGGGTCCTGGGATTGAGCCCGCATCAGGCTCCCTGCTCAGCGGGGAGCCTGCTACTCCCTCTCCCTCTGCCTGCCACTCTGCCTGCTTGTTCTCTCTCTCTCTCTCTCAAGTAAATAAATAAAATCTTAAGAAAAGAAAAGAAAATTGTAAGCTCTTGTTTTCACAAATGGTTATTTCCCATTTTGGAATTTAATGCAGTTTATGTATCAGTTTTTTTTCCTTGAGTACACCAAATCCTTATTTGTTTTTCCAAAGAGTATTTTATAAGTGAAATGGTTTATTAATATGTACACTGGGTGAACAAAAATATCTCCAAAGTAAAGCAACTATAATTTTGCTGTTTTTAGAAGAAAACAGGGAGGGAACCTATTAGAATTATTTTCTTGGGGTGAGGCTGGGGCAGCGGGTTTACTTTTGCCTGTTAAGTTTGAAATTCTGAGAATCAGATGTAAAAATGGAGCCATACTTTTAACTGTAGTCTGTGCTGAAGGTGTTTGTTTATAAAGGAAAAAAATAGGTAAGAATTCATAGATCCCATAAAAATTAAGGAGTACCATGAGAACAAATGATGTCAGTTGTTTTCTTAAGGACATCTACAAGGATGTTAATTTAGTTTGTATGCAGTTGGCTTCATGGCCATCAGTTATTAAGCCTCTCAGTTCATTTGCTTTTCAGTAATATGTATCTTGTGATATTTCATCATAGACCTTTTCATGTGCCAATGTAGTCACTTATTTTGCCTTCCATTTTCACATTCTAGAATGTTTTAAAGTTTGGTTATGTTTATTAATGGATAATTTTCTATTTCAGCATGTAAATCAAAACAGGCTAATAATACACAAGTCTGCAAGTAGTTTTCAAAAGCCAATAATCCTTTAGGAATTGAACTTATAAAATGGTTAGCATCATTTACTTTTTTCCTAAGCCAGTCTTTCCAAATCATACCTACTTCCTATTCTTGGGAGGGCAAAACTATACACCTCAAGTAATTTACCTAGTATTCTACTCTCCTCACCACACCCCCACAATGTAGTGAAAACAGGAATAGAAAAGTAAGACCAAATACATTTTTTTTTAAGATTTATTTATTTATTTTTGGAGAGTGTGAGCAGGGAGAGGGGCAAAGGGAGAGAGAGAATCTCCAGCAGAACCGCTGAGCACAGAGCCCAACACAGGGCTCAATCCCACAACCCCCAGATCATGACCTGACATGAGTCAGAATCAGACACTTGACCAACGGAGCCACCCAGGTGCCCCCAAATACATTTATTTTAGCTCCACCTCAAATATGTATCTTACCTGTGCGTGACTTCAGGGCAGTGGATAAGAATCCTTTTTTTATCCTAACACGAATATCTAGTAAGTATGCTATGCAGTTAGGGTATACTCCCATGAGTAATAATGGGGGAGGGAGGGAGGGAATTGGAGGTCACGTGTGTGTGTGTGTGTGTGTGAGAGAGAGAGAGAGAGAGAGATGGCATTAATCGGTGGTGTTCATATATTTAACAGTTATTTTCTGAGCACCTGGAAGTTCAGGGCCTAGGATGTGAGAATGCAAAGGTGACTTGCATCCATCTTCCTCCAACAAGAAGCTTTCAGTCTCAGGGGAGGTAACATCATGTATATACATCATGATAATGCAAGGTAGAAAATGGAAGGTATTATGAGGGAAGCACAGTTAACGTTTTGTGGAAAGGTAGAGGGTGATTTCTGGCAGCTGGACCACTTGAATTGGCCCTTGAATGGTGGATAAGAACCAGATGGTTGGGGTTCTTGGATGGGGGTTGAGAAGGCAATTTAGATATAAGAAACAGCAAATGATGAGTTAACTTGGCCAAATCAAAGGACCCATAAAGGAATTAGTGAAAAAGAGGGTAGATACCACATAAGAAAGGCTAAGGTAAAAATGACACTTAACATTAGCATCTGTTACTCTGTATTCTGATTTTTTTTAAGATTTATTTAGAGAGGGGAGGTGGGAGGGGCAGAGGGAGAGGGAGAGAATCCCAAGTAGACCCCCAGCTGAGCGTGGAGTCCCATGCCGAGCTCCATCCTACAACCCTGAGGTCATGGCCTGAGCCGAAACCAAGAGTGGTACACTCAATCGACCGAGCCACACAGGCACCCCTGTATTCTGATTCTTGATTTAAAAATCAAAATTTCAAGGCCTGTGCAAGAAATGAGATCTGAATGAATGGTGACTCTTCCAGCTGTGATTTGAGAAAGCTCTGAGCTAAGGTCATAAGTTAAATTTTTCTAGAGAAAATATCCATAACTGGTACTTGGTTTCAAAGAATTCTTGGACCGGGGCGCCTGGGTGGCTCAGTCGTTAAGCGTCTGCCTTCGGCTCAGGTCATGATCCCGGGGTCCTGGGATCGAGCCCCGCATCAGGCTACCCGCTCCGCGGGAAGCCTGCTTCTCCTCCCACTCCCCCTGCTTGTGTTTCCTTTCTCACTGTGTCTCTCTCTGTCAAATAAATAAATAAAATCATTAAAAAAAAAAAAAAAAAAGAATTCTTGGACCAAAAAAGGTTAGGCTCTGCTACCCTATTTCTCTGCATGCTTTGCACATAAATATATATACCATGAATGTTTGTTGGCTTGAATATTTGAATATGTTAGATTATGTAAAAATGGGAACAGAGTTGTAATACATGGGAGTTCATGGAATATCAGTGTCTGAAAATTCTTTCATTGGGCTTCCTCATTCTTAAAGTGTTTTTTGTTTTGTTTTTGTTTTGTTTTAATTTGACAGAGAGAGACAGTGAGAAACGGAACACAAGCAGGGGGAGTGGGAGAGGGAGAAGCAGGCTCCCCGCTGAGCAGGGAGCCCAATGTGGGGCTCGATCCTAGGACCCTGGGATCATGACCTGAGCCGAAGGCAGACATTTAACGACTGAGCCACCCACGCACCCCTGGGCTTCCTCATTCTTTTTTTTTTTTTTTTTTTTAATTTTTTTATTGGGGCTTCCTCATTCTTAAATGGATTTTGCCATTTAAGTATGTCTATAGGATCCAGCTCTTTGAGGCATTTAATATATCCTTTCCATTTTTTATATTTGTTTATTGCTTTTCTCTAGGGGAAAAAGGTGGATGGCTCTGTAAATGCCTATGCCATAAATGTGTCTCAGAAGAGGAAGTACAGGTATGCTTAGCCCCCATTATTGTGTTTGAACTAATCATATAAATTAGGTGCTTGGGAAAGAATTTATTTATGAGATAGTTGTGTTTATAGGAAATGTAGCAGTTTCCATATGTCCCTTGTTTTGACATTCTTTGCTTATATTTTGGTGTGTTAAAATAATTTCCAATTTATATGTGAACCACTATTATAGAGAAGGCTTAAATCTTTTAAAGCTCAACATTGTTCTTCAAAACAGCTTAATCTCAAATCTTTAGACTTTAATTTCATTATAATTATAGGTTTAAATTAGAGCCATCCTGTGAGTGATTGTGTAAGGATTTCAACTGTAAATATATTTTTCTGTTAAGTATATTAAGTATATTAAGGCATATTTTATTAATACCACAGAAAAAAAACAATCCATACCTGAAATCTCACTGAATTCCTAATGAATTGAAAAGTCAAGACATCTTCAAACATGCCTTTCTCTCAACCTTTACCACTGATAAAAGACTAATATTCCAATTAACTTAGAATATGTATAATTTGATCTGAGAATTCTGTGAGGTAAGGTGAGGACCAGAATTATCTTTAACGGTCCTTTTTAAAATTATTTTCAAAGAAAGTCTTTTTTTTTTTTTTTTAAAGATTTTATTTATTTATTTGACAGAGAGACAGCGAGAGAGGGAACACAAGCAGGGGGAGTGGGAGAGGGAAAAGCAGGCTTCCCGCCGAGCAGTGAGCCCGATGCAGGGCTCGATCCCAGGATGCTGGGATCATGACCTGAGCTGAAGGCAGATGCTTAACAACTGAGCCACCCAGGCGCCCCTCAGAGAAAGTCTTAATGAGGAGAACTAGTACGATATGCAGTTGGATTTACTTGATGGGTACCTGTTTTGGAGTTCTTCTCTATTTCCTTATTGTTACCTATAAATATGGACTTTCAGCTTTTTTTTTTTTTTAAGTCTGTAGAATCTTTCCAAATAATTTTGAAAGTATATTTCCATACTTCTATTTGGATTTCAAAGAAATCTGAAAGGCTTTAGGTTATTTTGAAAGTGAAATAATATCCTTAATGTGCATTAAATAACCATGAATACTTTTTACCCTAGACTTTGCCAATTTAAAGATGATTTATATTATTATTATTATTTTATAAGAGGAGTCGGAATTTTTTTTTAATAAACAATGAGTTTTCTCTTCTCATCATAGGCAGTACATGAATCGAAAAGGCGGATTCAACAGACCTTTGGATTTCATTGCATGAGAATTGAAATGTTAAAGAATGATTTTTTTTCCCTTACCTTGTTCAGAAGAGTGGATTTTGTATTTCATATTTAATATGCATAAAAAACAGGATTACAGTCCTTCCTCCTTGTAAAGTAAGAAAATTTTATTTATGATGTGTGCAGTTCACTTACCCTGACTCACAAAAAGGAAAGTTAAATACTGCATTTTTTTCTTTTAGGAAATACCATTTGGGGCAATCATCAACCCTATTTTTGGTTCTTATTGTTGTGGAAGCTGTATATGTTTTCTTCTTGGATGCTTGTTAGGACTTTTTAAAACACATAAAAGTAATTTGGATGTAAGTTTCTCAAATAAAGCAATATTTCTACCCTTTTGTATTTGATAAATATTTGTATTGCTATGTAAAATTGTCCCCCTACACAGTTTTTTTCCTACATAGATTTAGATTTCATTAGTAATTTACAAATAACTGGATTTTTGTATCTTCTGTGGTTTTTTCCCCAATTATTTCCTCCATTTATTGTTTTTCCTCATTTTAAAAGCAATATATGCTTATTATATAAAAACTTGGGAGAAACCAAAAAGTAAAAAGAAAGGCCAAAAATCACCTATAATCTATCCCCAGAAACAATCAATATTTTGGTATATGTCTTTCCAGACTCCTATGGTATATATTTATTGCTCCCACCCATTATATCAGAATTTATATGCTGTTTTCTTTTGCTAATCTTTTTTCTCCCAGGTACTGTGAACAGTTTTTAATACTCTTACATGTTATTTAGAAACTTAACTTTTAGTTAAGTTTAGCTACTTGGTTGTACCATAATTTATTAACTAGTCTTTTATGAACAAGCTTTGGCTTCCCTCCCATGACTTGCTGTTTTAATTAAAACTGTGAGTAGTATCCCTGTTACATATATCTTTTTGTACTTTTTTTTTTTTTTTAAAGATTTTATTTATTTATTTGACAGAGAGAGACACAGTGAGAGAACACAAGCAGGGGGAGTGGGAGAGGGAGAAGCAGGCTTCCTGCCAAGTAGGGAGCCCGATGCGGGACTCGATCCCAGGACCTTGGGATCATGACCTGAGCCGAAGGCAGACGCTTAACGACTGAGCCATCCAGGGGTACTTTATTATTTCCTCAGGTTCTGTTCTAGATGTGGCATTGCTGGGTGAGATAAACGGGTATGTGTGCATGTCGTAAGGCTTTTGATGTATGTATGGCTAGAAAGGTAACAACCAACTCTCACCAGTAAAGTATGAGCATACCGACTTCGTGTATGTGCACCAATGTCAGGTGTAATATTTGTTTAATTTCCAATCTGGTGGGTAAAATAGTATTTGGTTTTAATTTGTTCAGTTTCTAAGGAGGATGAACATTTAAAAAATGTGTTAACCATATATATATATATTCTTGTGAAATGCTAATTCCAAGTCTTGGATCCACTTGTCTTTTGGCAAGCTTTTCTTTTTCTTAGTTGAGGGAAGCCCTTTTTATATTGAAGATAACAACCACTACCCATTCTGTTTCATATCTTGCTGATATTTGAGGCTCTGTGGTTAGATTTTATTTTACTTTATTTTTGACTAAGTAATACAAACACATGGGGTATGTAGTGAAGAGCTAATTGTGCATCCTTTCAGAGATAGTCCATGTATACATGAACATATATGTGTACATATCTTTATTATTCAGATGTAAACAGATTCTACACACTATTCCGCACCTATCCTTTTTTATTTACTAGTATATCTTCAGATTGTTTCTTTTTCTTTCTTTCTTTTTTTTTTTTTTTAATTTTAAGTAGGCTTCACACCTAGCACAGAGCCCAATGCAGGGCTTGAACTCACAGCCCTGAGATCAAGACCTGAGCTGAGGTCAAGAGTCAGACACTTAACCAACTGATCCACCCAGGTGCCCCAAGATTGTTTCTTATCAGTACATGTAATACTGCCTCTATTTATTAACGGCAGCAGTTACAGTTCATTACAGGATGGACTATAATTTAATAGTCCTTATTGATGGGCACTCACATCTTTTTTTTAAGTCTTTCACTATTTTTAAAAATTTTGGGGCACCCGGCTGGCTCATTCAGTGGAGCATGTGACTCTTGATCTCGGGGTTATGAGTTAGAGCCCACCCCACATTGGGTGTACAGATTACTTTAAAAAAAATCTTTAAAAAAAGAATTCTACAGGTGCCTGGGTGGCTCAGTCGTTAAGCGTCTGCCTTTGGCTCAGGTCATGATCCCAGGGTCCTGGGATCGAGACCCGCATCGGGCTCCCTGCTCATCAGGAAGCCTGCTTCTCCCTCTCCCACTCCCCCTGCTTGTGTTCCCTCTCTTGCTGTCTCTCTCTCTCTGTCAAATAAATAAATACAAATCTTTAAAAATTAAAATTCTATAATCACTGTCCTTATATGTAAATGATAAATGATTTTACAAGCATTTTTAGCTGGATTGTAAATCCTTATTGCATCTGAAATTTGACCACCTATTGTAGATCTTTAAAAACCTTCCTGGCAAATTCATTTCCCGTAAAGAAAATAATAGTAGTGTGACTGCATTGCATAATACAGTACACAGAGCACCTTGGTTTGTTTAATCCTTATGAGATAAAGAAGGTACTATTATCTCCATTTCCCAGATGAGAAAGCTGAGGCTATTCAGACTAAGCAGAAAATACTGGGATTTATGCTACATCAGTTGCACAATTTGTAATACCCATTGTCTAAGTGTCCCTGCCCCCAGGTGGTTAGATTATTTTGCTTGGAGTTTTTGCCAACTGAGCTGTGTGTTTCTAAATTATCCATGATAAGGACTATTTCTGACCACATATGTGCACACTTAAGGAAGGCAGATACAACTGTGGTTTTAATAAGGAAGCTAAAACTTCTGGGATAAAATAATATACCCAAGACCAAATTACAGATTTTTGGATTGTCATCTTAGTGTGGTGTTAATAGAGATTTGACTTGAGATCCTCAAAGCAGCATACTTTGTAAACAAGTAACATGAGAATACCTCGTAGGTCAATAGGTTTGCTCTCCACGAGCTAACACCAAGAAATGGAAGAGGAAGACATCTGAAAAGCCAATGATAAGATACCTATGATCCCAAAGGAAGTCCTGTTTTTTCTTTTTTAAGATTTTTTATTTATTTTAAGAGAGAGCATGAGCACCGGGGAGGAGCAGAGGGAGAGGGACAAGCAGACTGTGCTGAGCGCGGAGCCCGACGCAGGGCTCAATCCCACGGCCCTAAGATCATGACCTGAGCCGAAATCAAGAGTCAGATGCTGAACTGACTGAGCCACCCAGGCGCCCTGGGAAGTCCTGGTTTAAAGGAAGTTTTACCCATCAGATCATCTGATTCTGTGAGAACAAATATGGAGCATCTTTGTCTTCCTCTAACAAGCTGCTGCTTCTCAGACATAAATTGTACCACATCTTCTCTTTCTAAGTATCTAAATGTTGGAGTGCTCTGGGGTTTAATTCCTGGACACTCCATTCTCTTCCTTAGTGAGCCTTCAATGTGGCTTCAAACATCTGCCATGGCTCTCTTCCAGCCTGGCCATTTTACTGAATTGCAGGGATTGTGTAATTGTGCAACTCTGTGCCTAGATTATTAGGCACAACCTTAAAGTTAAGGTTGGCTGAGTTCTCATTTCCCTGCCTAGCCGCCTCCGAGGCTTCCCCATCTCAGTAAATGGCCCATCCTCTCACTCCTTTGCTCAGACCGAAATCCTTAGGGTCATCTTTGACTCCTCTTTCTCATACCCCACATTCATTAGCAAACTTGTCGGCTGTAACCTCAGAGTATATTTTGAATCCAACTGCTGTTCCCCCCCACCAGATTTACTGAGGTAAAATTGACATATAAAATTTTAAGATATTTAAAGTATACGTCATGGTGATTTGATAGACATTGAATCCGACCACTTACCACCTAGACTAGCATAAGTCATCTGTCTTTTTGGACTACTGCAATAGCCTCTCTTGCTGCCTTGGTTTATTCTCCACCCAGCAGCAGAGGTGAACCTTTTAAAATGTGCATCAGGTCATGATTTCAGCTCAGGTCATGATAGTGTCATGAGATCGAGCCCAGTGTGAAGGCTCCACACTGCAGAGTGCTTGGAATTATCTCTTCTCCCTCTGTCATCCTCCCCCCGCCCCCATGCACTCACTCTCACTTGCTCTCGCTCTCTCACTAAAAGAAATCCTTCGAAAAATAGAATAAAGTCCAGTCCTTACTATAATGTACAGCCCTGTACAGTCTGAACCCTGGCTTCCCACAGTCTCACCCCCTTGCTGCTGCCTTTAGCCGTGCTTCTGACCTTGCTGTTCCTTGAGAACACGTGTGAATCTACCTCAGGAGTCTTCGCACTTGCTCTTCCTCATGGTGTGTTCCTTCCTGCTCCCCGACTTCCACCCCAATTTGCCTGGGTAGCTCTAGGTCTCTGCCCAAAATAAGGTCATTTCTGACCGTCCTATCCAAAATAGCAACCCTGCTTCCCTCTATCCCTTTACCCTGCCCTACTTATTTTAACATTTAAAAAATTGAGCTAAAATTCACCCTTTTACAGTGGTACCGTTTCACTGGGCTTTAGTATATTCAGTTATTTTTTTTTTTAAGATTTTATTTACTTGAGGGCGCCTGGGTGGCTCAGTTGGTTAAGCGACTGCCTTCGGCTCAGGTCATGATCCTGGAGTCCCGGGATCAAGTCCCACATCGGGCTCCCTGCTCAGCGGGGAGTCTGCTTCTCCCTTTGACCCTCCTCCCTCTCGTGTTCTCTGTCTCTCATTCTCTCTCTCTCGAATAAATAAAATCTTTAAAAAAAAAAAAAAGATTTTATTTACCTGAGAAACAACACAAGCAGGAGGAGGGGCTGAGGGAGAGGGAGAAGCAGGCTCCCCGTTTAGCAGGGAGCCCGACGTGGGGCTCAATCCCAGGACCCTGGGACCATGACCTGAGCCACCCAGGTGCCCCTGGTATATTCAGTTATGTATCATCACCCCAAAGAGACCCCATACCCAATTAACAGTCACTATTCATCCCTCTGTGCCACCCTCATTCCCCACCCCTGAAACCACTTACGTACATTTTGTCTCTAAAGATGTGCCTATTCTGGACATTTCATATAAATAGAATCATACGGTATGTGGCCTTTTATCTCTGGCTTCTTTCACTTAACAATGTTTTCAAGGCTTGTTCATATTGTAGCATGTGTCATTATTTCATTCCTTTTTTATGGTCAGTATTCTGTGAATCTACCACATTTTTATAATCCATCAGTTGATGGGCATTTGTACTTTACTTTCTGGCTTTTATATATAATGATGCTATGAACAGTAGTATACAAGTTTTTGTATGAACATATTTTCAGTTCTCTTGGGTATATAACTAGGTGTGGAATTGCTGGCTCATATATTAATGTTTGACTTTTTGAGGCAATGTCAAACTGTTTTCACAAGCAGCTGCACTATTTTACATTCCCACCAGCATATGTGAAGCTTAACAGTTTCTTCATATGCTGTGCAAAGTTTCCTTTTCCTAACAGCAATTATCACTGCCTGACATACTGTATTCATTTATTACAGTCTGGTTCTTACACTAGACATCCAGCTCTGAGAATTGGGGCTTCTGTCTTGTTTGTTGCTGTAGCCCCAGCACCACAAAGTTCCTGGCACAGAGTAAAGCACCCAAAAATATCTGCTCAATCCATGAAAATAGTTCAGTAACCTTTTTTTCACTTAACCACTTCCTTTGATCTTTATGTTAACCTTTAGTTACCCAAGTGATAAATGGACACATTTTTTCCTGTAAAAATTTTAAAACATGACAGAGCCAAACCCCTTTTGAACAGTACCCACAGTCCTGGTCCTATTGCTCCTTCACTGTGAATCCTTTGCAGTATATCCTTCCAGACTTACGCCTATGTACCTATGTAGGTAACAAAGTTGTAAAGGAGGAAAGTACATAGTTTGGGCTTTTTTTTTTTTAACACATAAATTATATGCTCTAGGAACATTTTACAGCTTATTTACTCGACACTGCATTGGAGATCTTTCCATGCCAATATATATACCTCTAGTTTTTTTAACTGCTACCATAGTGTTTTGTGGAATGTACTACCACTGTTTGTTTAGCTATTGCTGTTTTTAAAATCACAAATAATTCGTGGAGTAACTAATTTTTGGAAAGCAGCATTTTTAAAGGTTTTTAAAGCTTATATCATGATACTAGATTATCCAGTAATACCATGATATCAGAGCATCCAAAGTAGCCACAAAGAAGGGCATTAATATTAGGGAAGTAGCAAATTTCAGTCCTGATTTTTATACTTCAAAGAATAAAATCAATTCCTCAGAAACATATAAAACAAAATTCATTTTAATGTCATAGTGGTTAAGTGTCAAGCTCAGTTACAAATAGAGTTTTTTTAATTCCCACAGTTCGGAACTTTTTAGACTTTTAAGGATTATAATACAACAGTAGTCTTCCTGCCACTCTGAGGGATTCACTGAAGAGGTATCTCTGTATCACAATTCCCATAGCATTTAATGAACCTGCCATTTGGCATTGGCATTTATATACTATCTTATGCCTTCCTGGCCCTCGAAGGAGGCTAGGTCTTAGCCTTCTAAAAGATGCAGTAAAGATTAACAAGTATATCTTCTGTGTTTATGCTTCTGCATTTTCAGCATTTTCTTTCTCCTTCCCAGTTCTATTAGTTTATCTTGATGCCTGCTTGAAAATGTGAACTATTTTTGAACAGCCCATATTCATGCATAACTTTTTATTTAAAATTCTGGTCACAAAGTTTAGGTTCAAACATTCTCGAATTCCCATTTTTTCACTTTTGGCTTTGTGCCTAGTAAATGCTTTTATAATGCCTTTGAGGCACTAGGTGCTGGGGGTCACCACTTATTCTTTGTTTTAGGATTTTTACTTCTTTCTTCAAAACCTGTACTTCTAGATTATCTTAACTAGACATTGTGTACATTTGTGTAAAATAATTTCTAGAAAAACAAAACAAAATCTTTGTTTTGTACTGCTTGATCTCCAGTAGATGGCACCAAATACCCTTTAAAATTCATGATACTAATTCCTAGTTGGTGTTATTGGCTAATTGATAATTTCTTCCACCATCACTACCACCACCACCACCAGGGAATAGAAAGGGTCCATTCTTTCATCTAATTCTGTGATTGTTATATAACTTAGTATTTTTGTCCATGGTTTAAGATAAACCTGTTGGTGGGCACCTGGCTGGCTCAGTTGGAAAAGCAGTCAACTCTTGATCTGAGGTTCCAAGTTCAAGCCCCATGTTGGGTGTAGAAATTACTTAAGAATAGAACCTTTAAAATTTTTAAAAAGGGACGCCTGGGTGGCTCAGTCGTTAAGCGTCTGCCTTCGGCTCAGGTCATGATCCCAGGGTCCTGGGATCGAGCCCCGGGTCAGGCTCCCTGCTCAGCGGGAAGCCTGCTTCTCCCTCTCCCACTTCCCCTGCTGTGTTCCCTCTCTCGCTGTGTCTCTCTCTGTCAAATTAAAAAAAAAAAAAAGATAAACCTGTTGGTATTTAAATTATTAATTTGCTATTTCTGACAGCCTTTTTTTCCTTTTTATGTAGTGGTTTTCAATCACATTGATTCAAGGGGAAGGATCATGGTATTGAAATAAGACTGGACTAAAAAAAGTTGAGGATAAGAGAATGAAAGAAATATGCTGAATGTTCATGATAAAATCACAGAAAATATAAAAGTCCAAATTTAAGATAATGAAGTGTTTTTACTATTGTCAGTTTTAGTACTTTAGTAGAATTGTATTCATTTCATTATGACTTTCAAATTTGTTTCACAAATAACTTGCAATTAAAATATACTCATTAAATGGGGCACCTGGGTGGTTCAGTCGGTTAAGTGTCTGCATTTGGCTCAGGTCATGATCTCATGGTCCTGGGATCAAGTCCCACGCTCCTTGCTCTGCGGGGTGTGTGCTTCTCCCTCTCCCTCTGCCCCTCCCCACTGCTTATGTATTCTCTCTCACTCTCTCTCAAATAAATGAAATCTTAAAAAAAAAAAAACTTGTTAAAAATGTTATATCCCGGGACGCCTGGGTGGCTCAGTCGGTTAAGCGTCTGCCTTCGGCTCAGGTCATGATCCCAGGGTTCTGGAATCGAGTCCCACATCGGGCTCCCTGCAGAGCAGGGAGCATGCTTCTCCCTCTGCCTCTCTCTCTGTCTCTCATGAATAAATAAATAAAATCTTAAAAAAAAAAAAACTTTATAAAAAATGTTATATCCCCATTCTCATTTCTAACTTTGTGCTTTCTTGAAAACCTGTATCTTCAGTGTATTAGCTTTCATAAGAATAAGCTTTTAGATTCAATTAACCATTAAAACCAGAAAATGTTTCCTATACGTCAGGCATGGTTTACTACATTTATTCTACCTGTTGATTCTGTTGACTTTAATTTTAATGGATTTGTCAACCACTAAAAAGGACACCTTTAAAAAAATTTCCATCATGATTACATTTACAGTGTTTTTCTTCCTTTCCCCCCAGTGTTTGTCAGTGTTTGTGACTCAGTCTGGAAATCTATTTCTTAACTCTTGTTTAAGGCATTGGTAGCATGGGCTCTAGGCGGAACAGATCTAGGTTCAGTCTCCATCATCCAAGGAAAGTCACTTAGCTTCTCTGGGTCTCAGTTTCCTCGTGTTCAAAATGCAGATAATTAACCTATCTAATTGGGTTATACTGAGGATTAGGGATAATGCAGGTGACACATAGTAAGCTATTATTTTCATATATTGCCAACAGTAAATTTTTTTAAAAGCTTTATGAAATATGTTCAAGCTTACCATTTATTCCTCCTTTTTAAGATGGAGATGTCAGTATATTAACAATGTAACTTGGGTCTCAGGATAGCTAGCTTTCATCTCAAAAATCTTGATAGGCTTAGGGAATAATCCTTAAATTTTTAGTTCTATATATTTCTATTGGTACCACCCACACACAAACACCATTTATAGACTTGAACAGAGGAATTTTTGTTTTTTTTTTTAATGTTTTCATCTAGAAAGGAAGGAAAACTGGAAGAGATTTGGGTCAAAGAATCTCGGGATTCAGCGCCAATCATTCTGTAGGTGCAGTAAGTTTTTCAGCTTTTGAAGCACCCCCTCGTGTGAGGGAGTGATTATGCCTGCACCTGGGGTAGGGGTGGAGAGTGCCATAAAAGACGAGCACGGCTGTAAAGAGCCGCCCGATTTCACCGCTTTCTGAGGAGAGAAAAAACGCTGGGCGGCGAGTATTCAACGCGAGCCAAGCTTTTTCCTTCAAGCCCCACAGCCACGTGGCGCCCGCGGGAGCCCAGGGCCCATCAGGTTGCCGGCGCCGCTCTCCCTTCAGGGGGATTCGCGGCGGGGCCCACCGCCGCCCGGGTCCCGGGAAGCCTGGAATCTCTGGGACCGTGGCCGCCAGACCAAGGGCTCCGGCCCGAAACCCGAGCGGGACAGAGCGCCCAGGCGACGCGCGGTGCCAGCCTTCCACTCGAGGGATACCCGGCAGGCCCTCGTAACTTTTCCCCGGGGACAAGTCCAGGCAACAGGTCCGAGGCCAGGCCGGGCCGGGATGGGCGGGAGGGAGCCCAGCTCCACGGCGGCCGGTGAATCAGCGCCGGCGCCCAGGTCAGCCCTCCCAGCCAATGCCAGATCAGGGGAGGAGTAGCGGCGCCGCTGATCACCAGCCGCTTAGGGCTCGCTGGGCCCGGAGAAAGGTGACGTCATCGTAACTGGGAGGTTTCAGCCGGCTCCACCAATGGGAGGTAGGCAAAGTGGCTCGCTTTCTGTAGCTCTGGGCCAATACTAACAAAGCAAAAGGGGGTTGTCGGTATAGAACCAATGGAAAACAGGGAAGGAGCACGAGGCGGAGTTGCGAATCCTGTCACCAATTGGAAAGAGGGGGTGGAGCCCGGGCCTTGTCAAGCATGGCCAACCAGAGAGAGGAGTGGACTCTAGGGGGCGGGGCCGTAATGCTTTTCCCCAATCGGACAAGGCTAGGGGCGGGGCATTCTTTTGGGTGCCCAATGAGGAAGGCAGCCGAAGCGGGCCTGTCAAGAGAAGGGCCTGGGGGCGGGGGGATGGTGAGTCGGAGATAAACACTCCGCGGCGGTGGCGGCTGCTGCTCTTCTTCGGGTTCTGTCACGGTGTCGGCGGTGCCCAGCTCACTGGACCCCCCCCGCTCCGGCGAGCGTGGTAGCCAGAGAGGCTCTCTCAACCCTGCTCTGCGGGGTCTACAGCAGGGCGCGGGTGTCCGGCGGCGAGCCCGTGGGCAGTGGGGGTTGGTCCCGCGGCTCCGGCCCCCGGTGCAGAATGGCGGCGGCGGTTCGGATGAACATCCAGTTGCTGCTGGAGGCGGCTGACTACCTGGAGCGGCGGGAGAGAGGTGCACGGGGACGGGAGGGGTCCGTCCCGAGCCGGGGCCGGGGACTCTGAGGGGCCCGGCCGCGGGGTAGGGGTGTCCAGCCGCTCTGGGGGTGGTTGGAGGCGCAGAGAGCGCGACCGCGAGCGCTCCCAACCCCTCCAGCTCTCCCCACGCGCAGTCCGAAGGGAGGCCGCCACTGCCCCAAAGGCAATGAATGAGGGTGGAAAAGGGGCCGCTGCCCCCCGGAGTCCGGAGCGCCTCCCCCCGCCGCAAAGCAAACGGGATGCTCCGGGTCCCCTCAGCCAGGCCCTTGGTTTACCTCACCGGGGCTCGTCCGGACCGGCCCCCAAGTGGGCCCGGCGCCCCGTCTCCCAGCTGGAGGAGCAGCGATTCCCCTGCACCCCCCCTTCCCCGCCTTCTGGGTTCCGGGTGTTTGCCCCGCACCTCAGCCCGAGGCTGGCCCCACTTAAAGCACGCCAACCTGCTGGACGTTGCCAATGGGGAACCCAAGCTCCGTGAGCTTAGCGACTTGCTGTGTCTTTCTCAACAATGAGCAGCTGGAATGCTCCTTACACCTGCTCCGAACTGAGGGTATTCACACAATTAAAAAAAAATTATTCTAAGAATTCCACCTTGCATAGTTTGTTTCTTAACACAATATTCTTTTAATGAAAAATAAAATTTAAAAAGGAAGTACTGTGGAGGGGAGAGAGTATTGAATGTTCTAGGCTCATTCATTAACTGGATCCGTCGGTTTTCTAGAAGCTGAACATGGTTATGCCTCCATGTTACCATACAATAACAAGGACAGAGATGCCTTAAAACGGAGGAACAAATCCAAGAAGAATAACAGCAGTAGCAGGTAATTTGGTAAATATTTCTTTTTCTTTTAGATTATACTGCAGATGATACGAACTGCAGAATGGAAGTTGTCTGTTGTGCTTATAACCCAGTTAAATACATTAAGGAGCAATCATGATTCAGTAAGGCACACATGGTCTTAAGCCATTGAGGAAGCAGCCCTTCTGTTTGGGTTGAGGGGACAGAAAAGAGAAATGGAAATGTTTTATATTTCTTTATGAACTTTTTAACTTAATTTTGCTTTTCCTCCCTTTTGGAACAAAAATCTCTGGAAACTTGCAGTGAAATTAGCAACAATGACAATATGTTGCCCTCAGAAGTTGCAGATTCAGGGCAGGTTTTTTATAATTGAAAATGCTGGACATTATCCATTTCTTTTACTTTTCATAGTGAAGATTTTATAAACATGTTAAAGTATCTGACTTAGCATAGGTGGTAGGATTTCATATTTGACATGTAAATGAAATGCAGTAGTTTGTGTCATAATCTGTTACATCTGTTTATAATGGCAAAGAGGAATGATAGAGGTTAAAACCTGCCTTTTTGGTGATGGAGGATTAATATTAAAATATTAATATGCAACAGTCCTTTTTGTTAGCCTTATAGTTCTTAAAATCTGTGAATTTCACTGGGAAGTGTGTGGTTAATGGTCAGTGAAATCACATTAAAACCCTGACTATAGTTCCTGGTACCTATGAGTACTCTATTAATGCTACTGCTCCCTTTTTCCCTTCTTTGCCCTTAAAATATAACTTAGGTAGGAAATCTGTTAGGTCTATTTACTTACACCTTTCATTCCAGTAAAGTCATTCACATTTTCATCACTGACTTAGAATCCTTATTCCTCCCTGCAAGTAACTGTATTTGGTTAGCCTCTGTGGCATAATACAGACCACGAAAAGCCAGGAGGTCCCACTTAAGCCTAAAACTCACTTGTTCTTGCTGCTGCTTCTATCCTTGATTCATCCCATTGTACTTAGTGTTGGTAGAACCACAGGATGTGAGCAGCACACATGTGCTCAGCTCTTGAATAAGAAGGCACCTGAGGGATGAACCTAGTAATTAACTACCCTGTGGTTTTTCCTTTCCCTCCCATCTTTCACATTACCTGTGAAAGCTACCTGGTAGGTAATAGATCTGTGTGTGGGTATTAAGGGCCTACAAGAAGAATGTTAATACTTGTATTATTCAGTGGTATAAAATGATTTAGCTGTGTTGCATTTTGTTATAGTATTTTTAAGATTTTGTTTAGAAGAACTTTGAAGCCTTTTGGTTTATTTTTCCTGAAAAAAGTAGTCCATTTGTTGCTAGTACTCTTGTCCATTCATGATTTGGGAGGAATTGTCCACCTTACTAGTCAAGGCTTAATCCTCAGCACTTTATTTTTCCCTAAGTTTCACAGGAAAGTTGGAGGAGGTTCAGTGGTGGAGAGAGAAGAGAAAGGGATGTTGAAAGAGAAGTAGGCTCATCCCCAAAGGGGATTAGGAAAGAAAAATGATAGTTGAGAACTTCAAGTCAAGAAACAGATTCTTTCTCTTTAATATCCAGTGTTATTATGGAAAAAATAGCTGTAACTTCTGAGTTTTGGAAAAGCTTTCTTCTGTTAATGGGCTTGGTTTGTTTTCCATGGTTTCATACTGGAGGCTAGTTTCTCATATTCTTGACTAATGAATTAGTGTAATATCCTCAGTGGTGCAAGGATCTCTGAGAGACCATGATTAAACCTGGAGATGGCACGAAGCAAACATGAAGCAAGAGCAGGTTGTTTTTGTTTAAATGTGATCACTTCCTTCATGCCCTGTTTGGAATGACCTTTACCTGAGCAGTGAGACATCACCCCAGAGAATGTAGTTTGACCCCTTGATTTGAATTAGACTTCTCTCCAAGGCCATGTATGGTCAGGATCTTGAACTGAGTTAAGGGCGATGGAGAGATCACTGCTGGTTTACATAACCACCAGATAATAGTTTATTCTTGTTAATTCAGGTTGAAATGCTGTGCTCTTTGCTTGTAGGGTCAGGGGGCTACTTTTCCTTGGACAATAAAAAAAAAAAAAGATTTAGCCACATATCCAACTTCTTGGGAACTAAAAATGTAGATCTTCATCCAGTTTCTCTAGTTGTATGTTTAAAAAACAAAAACAAATGAAATTGTGAATATTGATTGTTTCAGAATCATCCAGAGAACTACTGGAATACAGGGGAGGTGGAATCTTTTTTTTTTTTTCTTTCCTACTGGTTTTTGAAATCAGTTACTAATTATTTAGAACTGAAATTCAGAGTTTTTTAAAGGTATATTTTGTAAAATTGTAAAGCAGGCTTTGGCACTCGTGAAAGAGGAAGTTCAGGACCTGCCACCTAGCTCTTTTATGCAACAGTGGCTATATAGCTGAGCTGACATGGAGAATCTTTTTGAACCCAAGAACTTTTCCCATTCTCATACACTGTAGTTTGGCTTAGTTATCTTTTTGCAAGTAGGCTCCACCTCCAGCGTGGAGCTCAATGTGGGGCTTGAACTCATGACCCTGAGATCAAGACCTGAACTGAGATCAAGAGTCAGACGCTTAACTGACTGAGCCATCCAGGCGCCCCTTGTTAGAATATATTTTTCAATGGTGACATTTGACCTTTACCAGTGATTCCAGAGTTACCAAATCTTTTCGGTAACCACATGGAAAATAATTTTGACACAAGATATCTATGTATTCTTATAATACTTCAATTAAAAATATAAATGTTTACCCATTAACAGAGTTGGCAAGCAATCTCTGATCGTTTTTGAAAGGCTTATTTTCATTAAAGACAAACTCAGTTTCAGTCACCCAAATGCACTTCAGTAATGCTTTAGCCATTAGATGTAAGTCCCCTTGTAAAAATCCCAATGTGTTAATACTCTTAAGTAATCAAATAAGATCTGTAGTTACCAAAATTGTTCAAAGTCTGGAAGGAGTTGTCCTACAGAATTTGTTAAAAAGTTTATCTTGGGGATTCAGAATTTTTCTTATATGTATCTTCAAAGAATCCAGAAATTTTTGGTAAGAGTGCCCTGTGTGCTATTTTCTGTAATCAGATTGTATTCTTTTCAAATATCCACACTTCTCTCTTCCACCACCTTCCTGGAATGGTCCTTGCCTACAGTTAAATGGGGGAAATCCTGACCGGCTGCTATCATATACTTTCATCCATTTAAAAAATCTGTCAGACTTTGAACTTGTTATTTCCTGTTAAAACTAAAATGCCACGTGCTTTAAAGCCAAAGGTTTGTAGTGCAGGCCTGACTCTTGTTAACTGTGATATCCTGCCGGCCATTGCAGGAAGTAAACCTTCAGAAAAATGTAACTGAAGAAAGTTGAGGGAAAACCAAGTGAATCAATGTAAAGCTTTTAAGGTAACCAATTTTGAGGTCCTTTACCTAGAAAACAAATATTCTAAAACTTAAAATACTGTCATTTTCTTGGTTTTCCTCGTTAATAAAAATCGGTGTCCCAAGAGCCTTGTGGAAGAGAAGTTTTATTGCTGGATTGGAAATTTCTCATTCCAAGACTACAAACCCTCCACCACCCTTCTCTGGTGTGAATGAAATTGGTGATGGTTGCCCCCTGATATAAATGAGTGGCGGAGCATTCACAGAGGTCCTGTTTCTCCATGATTACTGTGAGAATTCCTCTGTAGGCCCAGGAAGGTTCTGGCCTCAGCCAGGGTGTTCTCTCCTGAACTGGTTAGATTCCAGGGAATTTCCATTAAGAAAGGTCAAGATTGAGCTCCTTTATAATGCTGGGATGTTCCTCAAGTTTATAATTAGTTGTGTGAGGAGGACACTGTAGTGGCCATATTGACTGACTTCCTGTGACTTCTATGGAAACCTGTCCATAAATTCTTAGACCAGACCTTATATTCAAGGTCAGCTATAAACACTTTAATAATAGGATTTCACATCCACCACAGCTTTTGTCCAAGGCTCTCTCATCACTTTTACAGTGACCTATGTGTGTTCAGTAGATATCTGACAATAATTTTTACTCCCATTTTACAGAGGGGTTAACCAAGGACAAGATGGTAAAGAATTTTATTTCTTCTACAGTACCAGTTGGTGGCAAAGCTAGACTTCACATTTCACCCTCACTGTGGCTTTCACCAGTCTGTATCGTCTTTATGTTGAGCTGAGTTTTAGAAGCCCCTTCCTGAAATCATTTGGGAGCTGTTCACATGTTGTTGCAGGAGGTTGTACATGATCAAATAATTACGTCAGGGAGTAGAAAGATTGAGGGAAAAGGGATTATTTTTATCCACTTAAAATTGTATCCTATTGTTAAGCAACTTAGCATAAAATTTTGGCGTATCTACTACACCTAGAAAAGACTGCAGGCCTAGGAGGAGGTGCCACCTCCACTCTTCTCCCCTCAGCCTGAAGAAACCTTTGGTGTTCTATAACCCGAATTCACATCACATGGCGCAGCTGTTTTTCTCATTGTATAAATAGACCCCTTTTATTTCCTTTCTTAAAATGGATTACATTTGCACTAGGGATTGCATGCCTCTTAAGTTTGTCACTTCTCCTTGAACTCTATTTTACATATTTACATTTACCTAACTCCTCAAAGGAACTGATTTCTTTAGCAGAGCCCACTTTTTCTTCCCTGTTCCCTCTCCTACCAACTTTGGAGAGAAAGAAGTTAAAATTGTATTGGTGCTGAAGTAGTTCTTTAAGACAAGAATCTTACTCTTTTCTTATTGTTCCCTCTTTCAGATCAACTCACAATGAAATGGAGAAGAATAGGTGAGTTGGGGGTTTTGGGGGTGGGATGGGGGTCGTTTTGATGTAGTCCCTGATCTTAGAGACTTGGATGCTTTTCATGGGCTCTTCCCACAAGTAACACCTGATGTAAGAGTTTCCTCAGGCCCACTAAGCAGCGCTGCCCCTAAATCACTTAGGTAGATGAAGGACTTGCAGGTTCCAGAGACCACACCCCCAGCCCTCACTCCTGCAACCCACTCCTCCTAAGGAGGGCCTTCCTGGGTGACTGTTTCACAGGCCAAAGCAGTTTAGGTCATGAGCAGTGTTTCCACAAATAGTGTTTTTTAAAAAAATTACATGCTACTGAATATAATTGGTAGTTCTGTCTTAAATCATGTACACACCCAGATATATATAAATACACATACATATGTGTGTATATTTACACTTTACTTGTGAATAAAGATTCTCAAAAATCAGGCAAATATATGCATAGCACAAATTGGAGATGGTGATTCACTGGAGGAGGCCTGCCACCCTCCCTGGGATCCATCTGGCTTCCTGAATTGATCTCTCTCACCTGGATTGCCTCTTGCTGTTTGTTAAAATCTTTATTTTCTAAATCCGGTTTGTCCCTCCTTCAACAATGTAGCCTAGTGGTTCTTGACTCTGGTTGTACGTTAGAGTCACTTGCAAAGCTTTTATTTTAATGTTTTTTTTTTAATTTTTGTATTAAATTACACACATGTATACATTTGAGGAGAAGGAACAGATTTTATTTCTGCCAATTTTATAAAATAACATACAAATCTTCAAATATATGAGAACGAATAATGTAATCAAGTCCTATGTGTCCATTACCCAGCTTCAACAATCATCATTTTGTTAATCTTGTTTAATCAAAACTACCCCTCTGCATGGAGTATTTGAAAGCAAATCTTTTATCTCTAATAAAGACTTTTTTAAAAAACATAACCACTTTTACCGTGGGGGGTGGAAATAGTAATTCCTTGTAGAGCTTTAAAATAAAGAAAAAAAAGAAACCAATGCCCAGACCTCACCCCTAGCAATTCTGATTTAATTGGTTTGGGTTGAGACTCTGCTCTAGTATTTTTTTAAAAGCTCCCCAGGTGATTCTCATGTGCTGCCAGGGCTGAGAACCATTGAACAAGCTTCATTCTGGTCTCTGAGCTCCCATCAATTTGAAATACAGGCTACCCATTCAGATTGAGTGGCTTTCTCAGTGCTCTGCATGAACAAGATGATGTGTAATGATGGTTCTGTAAATACATATGGTTATTTCATGCAAACCTTCTTTGAAGAGGGAGCCTGACTCTGAAAGTCAGGATCTGAATGACACTTTTTGTCCGTGGAAGGGCAGACTGACTTAATAGGAAGGAGAATGTTGGAACAGGGTGAACATTTAGCATGACTCCGCTGAGGAATTCTGTGTGTGCGTGCATGTGCCTCACTGCACACGTGCTTCTCCCCATCCCTCTTCTTCCCTTTTAATTTCTCTGATTGTGACTGTGTTTGAAGTCAAGGCTTTCTTTTTGCTTTAGGGATTTACAGATCATGAATTGGGAACTCAAAAGTATCTTTTAAGGTGGAAAGGTAATCAGATGTGGCCTTTCTCATCTTTAGATTCTCAACTTTCTGCCTTTGGGGTGAACTGGGTAAACTGGGACTCTTTCTGCTGAAAAGTTTTCTAGTTTTTCTCCCTCACCTTACGTAGGCATTTATTTTTTTATTATCCATTAGACACTCATTTTTATTATTAAAATTTTACCCCTTCAGGTAAGGGCTCTCTTTTTTTTTTTTTTAAAGATTTATTTATTTTGAGAGAGTGAGAAAGAGAGAGTACATGAGAGGGGGGAGGGTTAGAGGGAGAAGCAGGCTCCTTACTGAGCAGGGAGCCCGATGCGGGACTCGATCCCGGGACTCCAGGATCAAGACCTGAGCCGAAGGCAGTCGCTTAACCGACTGAGCCACCCAGGCGCCCCAGGTAAGGGCTCTTGCACTTACTACAACTTTATGCCTCTTACCTCTGCAAGAATGCCACACAATGTCAGTTTTACCTTTTAGCAGTTCACGGGTGTTTATTTTTTGCCTACGGTGTCTCAAGAACTTGTACTCAGTACTAGGTATTAAAAGAGTTTGCACTGTATAGCAAGATTAAATCAGCATGGTCCCCATCCTAGAGAAATGTTGTTTGTCTAATGGGAAAGATGCAGAGACAGTCTGAATGAATACACTATGGCTCAGATTGAGGTATACATGAGAGGCTATGGAGGCAAAGAATCTAGAAAACTGGATTTGGAGTCCCCACTGGGCAAGCTGCTTTTAATTCAGACTGCATCCGTGTGACTAGTCAACTTTTGCTCGCTGAAGAGTTATCTAGTTTCCTTATTGTCCTTTCTTTTTTGGAATTCGGTCTTTTAAGGTCTTGATAATTCTTTCTCTAGTCCAGAGCATGTGAACAGAAAAGAAGGAAGTAAAAACTCAAATTTCTTAATTTAACCAAAATTGGTTGCTGCAGTCCAGGGGAGGAACTTAAAGTTGCCCAGCTCTTCTCCCCTTATGAGTGTAGATGCTTAAGAATCTTCGGGTTTTGAAGTCACTTGAACAGCTGCTCTTGTAGTCTCCCTGGTTTTAGTAGTTGATGCCTATAAAACAATCCCGCTTTGCTAAGTGCATATACACTTTAGCCATTTTTTACCTTAAAACATTACATAGAAAGATTGACACGGCTCTCAAACAAAAAACAACACTTAGGAAAAGAACTTCTAACGATGGGAATTTGTTTTCCTCTTTGACATTGCAGAGTTGATTATACTTGGGTTAGATTTTTAAACAGAAACCTTTTCTGTGGCACTTTAGAGATTCTGAGTAATTGGTGTTCGTTAGGACTCCACAAAGAGGACAATATACTTAACACTACCACTTTAATATTCTTGGTGTTGGTAGGAAAATACCCCACCTCCACCATTCTAGAAGGCTTGTATTTTCCATTCTCTAGATTAGGCATTCATGGAGCACTGAAGATGCTGTGTCCTAGGTGCTGAGAATACAGAGCCTGATGAAGCCCAAGCCCCTGGGGTGAAGGGTTCAGTTCATCAGCATAGATAGGAGCATCTGTCACTCGATCTTTGCTTCTCTGAACTGTAACTGGTCGTTGTGGGTCTAGCTTCCTAAGGAAACACTTTGTGAGTGTGCTGTTTTTTTTTTTTTAAGATTTTATTTATTTTTTTGGGAGAGAGAATGAGAACACGAGAGGGAAGAGGGTCAGAGGGAGAAGCAGACTCCCTGCTGAGCAGGGAGCCCGATGTGGGACTCGATCCCGGGACTCCAGGATCATGACCTGAGCCGAAGGCAGTCGCTTAACCAACTGAGCCACCCAGGCGCCCTGTGCTGTTTTTCTTTTTAAAACTAATTTTACAGGGACGCCTGGGTGGCTCAGTCCGCTAAGCGTCTGCTTTCGGCTCAGGTCATGATCCCCGGGTCCTGGGATCAAGTCCTGCCTCAGGCTCTCCTCTCAGGGACAAGTCTGCTTCTCCCTCTCCCTCTGTGATCTCTCTCGTTTTTGCTCTCTCAAATAAATAAAATCTTTAAAACAAACAAACCAACTAATCTTACAGAAAATCTTGAGAAATACAGAAAGTCTTTCTAAAACCAATTTAAATCATCCATAATTCTAGCTGCCAGAGGACAGCAGTGGAACTTTGAAGTGTATCTCCACAGTTGTTTTTGGAAAATAACTTAAAAGTATAGTTTAGTTTAAAAAATTGGGAAGTTCCAAAAAGCACAAAAAATATATAAATCACCTGTAATAGATCTTGCAGCAGTAACAGCTGCTAACATTCCTGCTAAGTTCTGTATCCATCTAGACTTTTGTGCATACTTTTTTTAAGTCAACATGGGATCATATAGTAAATAATTTCTATCTTTGGGGTGTCTAGGTGGCTCAGTCGGATAAGCATCTGCCTTCGGCTCAGGTCCTGATCCCAGGACCCTGGGATTTAGTCCCACATTGGGCTCCCTGCTCGGCAGGGAGCCTGCTTCTCCCTCTCCCGCTTCCCCTGCTTGTGTTCTCTCCCTCGCTGTCTCTCTCTGTCAAATAAAATCTTTAAAAATAATAATAATTTCTATCTTCTTTTCAAGCTACATTATGAATATTTTCCCATGTCCCTAAGTCTACTTTTCTAACATTACTTTTAGTGAATACCCTGTATTACCTCATATGGATGTGCCGTAACTCATATAACCAATCCCCTGTTTTAGGTTCTTCCCAGTATTTGGCTAATATAAACAATACTTCCTTAAACTACCTTATAGATAAATCTCTGTCCAACACCATAATTATATCCTTACGGTAAATTTATAGTTGTGGAAATAATGATATACACATTATTGTGGTTTTCGATGTTGACTGCTGGATTGCCCACCTGGCAGGTTACAGGCCTTATACCTTCACAAGGTGTTAGTATAATCTAAGACCTTTATGAATTTGATACATAAAAAACAAAAGCTGACAACTTGTTTTAATTTGCATTTCTTACATTACTAGCACAGTCAAATAATTTTCTTTGTATTGCCTATTAATAACCTCTGCCAATTTTCTACTTAGGCATTTGTTTTCCTTATTTTGAAAAGACTATATAATATGAAGGATATATACGAAAGAGATCACCCCTTTGAGTATCATGTTATTGTCCAGTTTATCATTTCCTTTAACAGAATCCATTTTCTCTCACTGTTTGAACTTGCTGCTTCTATTGTATATTAAATTCTTGTTCATGGCTAAGTCTGTTTCTAGACTGGTTCTTCTTTTCCACTGCGCATCTGCTCTGCTTTTCCTGTGCCAGTGAATATTGTTTCAGTCACTGAGGTTTTATCATGCACTTCAAGATCTGGTAAAGCAAATCCCTACTCCTCCCTTCTTCTTTTTTTTTTTTTTTTACCATGTTGTTAGCTATTTTCACCAGTTTATTTTTCCCTGTGAATTGTATAGTCAATCCATTTCCCCAACCTCCAAATCCTTT